CCACTGTGGGAGTCAGTGCCACGAGTGGCCCGTGAAAGACCCCACAACTATCAAGCTACCGTCAGATGTGGATGTAGGTGCTATACAGCAAGCTATGTAGCACTATACACCGCGCTGCACAAGTGGCCCGAAAGGGCTCACTGACACTCAGGCTGTACAAAACTGCAAGTGGCCAAAAAATGGCTCACTGGGGGTATCTGTTTTCACACACTGATGCTGAATTGTTTATGGCTGCAGGATTCATCCGGTCAGCTGAACTTTTTTTTTGCGATCGCACCCAGCGTGACGTATCCCCTGCCCCTTCACTGCTCGTGCGTTGTTGAACCCCTGCCAAGCAGGAGAATGTATGATTGCTGTGACAAATTTTGGTCCTGCATGACTTCTCTCATGATGAGTTTGGCTGGCCTAGCATCATCGGTGCTCCACTGTGCACCAGAAGCACCATCAGCGGTAGCTGTCAGAAGTCTGCTGGTGTAGTGGCCTGCATGTGGAGAATGGCCAGCGTGCAGGATCACAGACCAAACATTATAGGCGACGTTGGTGCATTGCAGTGTATCGTCATCGAACACTGGAATATTCACGCGGGGCTCGATGATGACAGGGGTGGTAACTTTTTGCATTTGATTCTGTACTTGCAGGTGGACTGGCTTCGGGGGCGTGACCACAAAGTAGTTGTCGGAGACTGCCGTCCCCGGCCTCACCTGGTGCAGCGGCAGCGGCTCCCTCATGTACACGGATCACATGGATGAACTGCGCCGGGTTGATCTTCCACTTCATGGCGTCGTAGGTGGCCTGGGTGCAGGTGGCCATCATCTGGTCGATCAAGGTCACTAGCCGTTGGTACATGTTGTACCAGTCAGGCTTCAGTTGTTTCTTGGCATTGCACACCGTAAAGGCCTCCATGAAGGTGACTCGCGTGCTTCGGGACCTTTTGCTCGCCGGCTGCATGTGGGTTCGAGTCTTTCCACGAGGCCCATGAACGGAGGAATCCGAGGAAAAACCATCCTCATCGCCACGAGTCCCTTAGGCCAACAGTGTACGGAGGAGTCTGAGGAGAGATTCTCCCAGTCCGCTTCACCAGATTCCATCTTCCCACTGGTCCCACTCCATCTCCCAGGCAGAGCTTGATGTGGGGTTTTTCCAGCTTCGGCGCTCACCATCCGCCCAGTGCTCCTCGTACCAGTCCCGGTGAGACCAGGTTTTCCAGAGGCCACGCCTTGGCTCGTCCCAGCTTTTTCTACTGGGGTCCTCCTCCTCGGCACAGGTCCTATTGTGAGAGTCAGATGGATCTTCATCCGTGTGGATGCGGAAGTGCTGTGGTCCCCTTTGGCTTGATGAGGAGGCTGGCTCCCTATCATTTTGCCTTCTCCGGGACTGCACATCCTTCCAGTACTGGACGTAGGGCGCCCGCTTCTTCAGCTCTCGAGCGGTCCGGCGGCACCTACCATCGGCGCGAAAGCGCGACCTGGGCTGCTGCTGTGCCCTTGCCTTTGGCTCCATTTCACGGGGTAGTGGCTCTTCACTTGGCTTGGGCATCGTGCCTTCTGCGCACACATGGTTAAGCTCTGGCTGCCTTGCATTATGGCGGCACTGACGGCATTCCGCACTGACATGACGTGTGGCGCAGGCAGAACAACATGCAGAACTGCGTGAGTTCATGCAGACATGTGCTGGTGCTCCTTGCAGTAGGACTGGTCGAGATGTTCGGAGGTCTGCACTCGTGTTGACTGCGCGCCTGAGAGATGGTGCGGGGGGGCACTCTTAGAATCAGAGTAGATTATCTGCAGATCTATGTTGGGTGGTTTGCGGGGGCGCTTTCTCTGCGAGCACGGGGGTAACAGATTCTGCGGAAAACCTGATGAGACCGGACACCTTTTCCTGGGGCCTTGGGGCTCCCAATAGGGCAGTGGCACAATACGCGGGTTTTGCTTGTCAGCAACATGTCTGCAATCCTGCTCAAGCATAGGGATATACAAGCTGTGTTTCGCAATAACCCTTTTATATTGTGGTTCCAGTCTAGAAGTCAGGCTAAGGCCGTGGCACTGGGAGATGTCCGCATCCCGTATTGAGTGGTGGGCGCAGCTACCCTCAATCCATGCGATCAAGCAGACCAAGCTCAGATTCGGCCACCTCCGTAGATGTTGCTTCGTTATGCTCTCCCTGCTCCTGCACACGCCCTTTTGCTTTGCGTCTTCTTTTGGGAGGCAGCGGCGCGTTTGCTTTGGTGGTCCTTGGTGGTGTCTCATATCCTTGGTCGGCGCGGTCCGAGTGAGCAGTTGCAATGGTGTCGGCTTCGGCGGTGTCGTGTGTTGATACAGCTCTTGGCGGTGTTCCGGCGTAGAGCGGGGTATATGTGTAAGGGGCCGGTATGCCACGGGCAACCCTGGATAGGTGCTCCTCCCTTCTATCCCTCTCCCTTTCGGAACCCCATTCTGCAAGTTGTTCAACGCATCTGTGCCTCTCTGCCTCGGTTGCCTGGGCAAGGTGATTGCGGATCGTCTCTCCGATGCGGGCAACAACATCCTCGCTACTGACTGGAGGTCTTGTTTCCTCAGCCGGTTTAGCGGACATGACGGTGTATGCCAAGCACAGGGCACTGTAGACATGGGCTGGAGCCAGACATGCAAGCGAACATGTTCAGCACTATGAGGCAGGTAGGGGCCAAGCTGGCATCCCTGTGGCACAAAAGTAACAAGCAGCTGCTGCAGCTGAAGTGCAAGGACATGCATGTGCTGCCATGGAGCAGTCTACATAGGCAACCACATATCCTCCAAATCCTTTTCATGAAGAAACTGACTCCAGGCGCCTTGTTCATTGTGCTATATGACATACGGATAGCTCTCCATGCCTGCGGCCTCCTGAAGTTCTTGCTTAAGCTGTATGCAGCGCATGCGTCTCTCAACCACTCTGCATGTTTTCTGCGCATACCTTTCCAGGAATTCCGCATACATTTCCAGCAAGCTGTCAGTGCTGACATGCTGTTGTGTCTGGCTAGTTCCGGCTGTTTCGGTGTTCTGTGTTTCTGCGTTCCTTTTCGCATGTGCTTTCGCGAACACATAGTGGTGTAGCATGGTATGCATATCCGACAGGGCAGTGTCGGGAAGCACTTTTCTGAAGAACGACAGATGCTGGTACATGTCCGCCTCCCCCAGCTTTGTATCCAGGACGGTCCTGGCATCACAGCAGGCTGTCGGATCACGAACCTCATTGGTTTTGAGGTAGATCCACAAGCCCAGTTCACGGACCTCTGTGGTGCCGACCCCATGCAGGCCAAGCTGTAACGCGAGATCTTCCAGGTTGTTTTGGGCCGTCGCTGCTGCCACCAGGGGATGGCAAGGCCATCTACCCTCCCGAACACAGTGCTTGGTTTCACGCTTTCGACCTTGCTGCATGCTGTCTGTGTCATTGCTGGCATTGCTACGCTTACGCTTTGGCCCTTTTCGCATGTTGCTATCAACAGAGCTATGTGAAGGCAACATCTCCACATCCATTGCATCGATCTAGGTGCAGCCCAGCTAAGGGGCAGATTTTGAGCCGTGGTGCTTACTACTACTACTACTACTACTACTACGACGACGACGACGACGACGACGACGACGCACGTGTAGGACATCTGACGGTAGGTTTTTTGAGTTCATGGAAGAGGTTCAGAACAATCGGAAGTGCAGAAAATGCTGTCCCTGGCAGTGAATTTGGGACTTCGGCATTTTAGCTAATTATTTCAGGGGCTTGTTTAGCAGTTGGTAGCCGCAAAATTTGTAGTTTTCAGTCCTTGCATTTCAGGGTCCCTGTGAATGGACGTAAAAGCGGAAGAGGCGCGTAGAATGGTGATTGGCATTTGCTTCTATTCCTATGCTTATTACTAGGTAGGTGCTTCTTTGGTTCTGCTTCTCCGTTTACAAAAAATGGATGCAGTAATCACATGAATGTTAACATTGTCCTGTTCCGGATGCAAAGAAACGGATGCAGTCATCACATGAATGTTAACATTGTCCTGTTCCGGATGCCAAGAAAATGGATGCAGCAATCACATGAATGTGAACCTTTGCTTTTCCGTATGCAGAAAAATGGATGCAGTAATCACATGGATGTTAACATTTTGCTTCTCCGCATGCAAAAAATGGATGCAGTAATCACATGGATGTCAACATTTTGCTTTTCCGTATGCAGAAAGAAGAAAGCAGTAATCACATGAATGTTAACATTGTCCTGTTCGGAAGGCAAAAAATGGATGCAGTAATCATATGGATGTTAACATGTTGCTTCTCCGTGTGCAAAAAGAAGAAAGCTGTAATCACATGAATGTTAACATTTTCCTGTTCCGAATGCAACAAATGGATGCAGAAATCACATGGATGTTAGCATTTTGCTTCTCCGTATGCAATCTCCGTATGCAAAAAACAGATGCAATAATCACATGGATGTTAACATTTTCCTTCTCAGTATGCAAAAAAAGTGGATGCTGCAATCACATGAATTCTACATTATCTGTCTCCGTATGCAAAAAGATGGATGCAGTAATCACACATTTTGCTTCTCCGCATGCAAGAACACAAAAAGGTCGAAACCTGAAAATAATGGAATGCACACAGCGAAAACAAAAAAAACATGAAGTTGCGGCAAGAAACGAAAATGCGAAACATGTATGAAATTAGTGAGTTCCCACAGTGAAAGTGCAAAAATGCATGAAAACCAGCAAATTCCCATAGCGAAACGCAAAAAAAAAGGCGCATGGTGCCAAAATAGACGTTTTGCGGCTGGCAACGTCTTGAAGCAAATCTGCAAATTTGCAGAGTTACCACAGCTAAAATACCATTTGAGGTTGACAAATGCTCAAAAACCCCCGCCGTCGGATATCTGACGTGTGGGTACTACTACCACAACTTACTACTACTTCTACTGCTACTACTTCTTCTACTACTACTACTCATCCTCCTCCCCTGGTCGTTGCTTAGGCTTTCTATGCTCCAGCACCTTCCCCCAGGTAATGGGAGCCATGTGGCAGCGTGCAGAATGTGAGCTTGCCAGAGCGCTCCCTCCAGGCTGAGGTAGCGCAGCAGGCAGGGGGAGGAAATCCCAGAACTGCCAGAACCTCTGGGGAGCCAGGTGGTGAGAGTGCGCAATTGAAGGGTTTTAGTGCAAAGGAAAACCCTGTTAAGCTAAAACTACTACTATTATTATCATTATTTTGATTACTATATTAGTAATAGTATCTACTACTATAGTATTACTACTAAAACCTAAACCCTAAACCCAAACCAATAGACTACGGCGCCTTCTGAAGGGCCCTGTCCGGCAATCAGGTCGGTCGTCAAGCCGACCATCTGCAGCATGAATTGTCCAAAACCTGCCTAGGCTTGAGAATTGGCTTTGAAAAGGGGTGTGTGTCTTAGGTTTTTTTTTGCAGCTCTTTCCCACCCGCAGAGTGTAGGGCGTAGGGTTCAGGGTTTAAGGACCACGTGTTTGGGCATTAGACTTCAACCAGCGATCTTCACATGCATGAAAGTATCCAATCACCTATAGATTCTGTGGGCAAGCCAGCTTTCAGGGTCTTGATCGACAAGGCTGGCTAGGCTGGTGCATCTGAGCTGCTGTCTGCTGCTTGATTTCTCTCATGGCGTTGGTTTGGGTCACGACGGTCAGCAGGGTGCCGGCGACTGTGGCAAAGGACATCAACTGGTTTATCAGCACGCCGCTGCGCTTGGGCTCCTCATGTCAAATCATGTCATCGTCAATTTGGGTTGAAGACTGCTCAGTGCATCTCGTGGCCGCTCTCTCAACCTGCAACACATCTGAATGCCAGTATCATGCTGTCCAAGGAGCTTCAGCACCTTGCACTTGGAGCGCACTATGGGCCGCCAGCGTGAAAGGCAGGACGTGCTTCGCAAGCATGTACATCCACTGCGAAATCTGTTGCCACCAAACTGTTGCGCAGTGCGTACACAACAGCACACTGTTGTCAGAGATGGCATAGCCTACTGAGCAAGTCGCACAAGATCGGTTCTCATATCCTGGGGCACACATCGTGGAAAGATCGGAGGAATTCCCTCCAGGACATGCTGCAGGGTTCGGGCAGTAGATGGTGAAGCTAATGTCGCTTGCTTCGACCATGTGCCCTGGGGTCATCTTGAACTTGTTCGCATAGCAAAACTCGTTTGGAACCGGGCACGGAACACATTTTGAGACGGTGCTGCCGGCATGCTGAGTAAAGTTATCGTCGCACACCTGTCCAACAACGTGCTTCAAAATTCAACAAATCTGCAGGTGCCTCATGGCATCTGTGCTGCACATGCAACTCGCCAAGCAAGGCAATTCAGGTGAGGCGCTGAACAGTTCTTGGACCCAGAACCCTCCCGGATCCCCGTGCCCGGTGGACAGAGAAGGGTGGATACATCGCACTCCGAGGCCACCAAACTGCATGACTTCAGGGCCGTGCAGTTCACAGATTCCTCAGATCCACCATGCAGGGCAGGATCAGCCTGTTGATTCTGGAAATACTAAGCTACTGTAGCAAGGTTTCTGATGACTCCAATTGCTGCCACGCTGCGGCATGTAGGCTGTCAGCCCAAAAACCCATGCCAAACTTCTGACTTCTGCTCTGGAGGTAAAGCTTGTTGAGCACGAGCTTGCCTAAGACTTGCAGAACACAAAAAGTGGCATCTTGGAGGAGCGACTGCAACTAGCTGAAGCAAGTGGAACTTGACGCGCCAAACGGAGAAACTGCTTTCACGAGCCCCCCGCCGTATGTGACCACGTCAAAGTCCACGCTACGCGGCTCAGAGACAGTCAAATCGGACACTACCAGCACCTTGGACAAGGAATACAGGGTGCCAGCATCGCTCTCCGTGCTGCAATGGTCCAAGAGCAGGCTCGTCAGGTGTCCTGCAAATTGGGTTGGGCATGCATGGCAAACACTGGGAGCTCCAGGTTGCGCGTCCACTGTACCCGCCATGGGGCTAAGTCAGTAGGTGTCTTCTCTTTTGCTAGAAAGCTTGGCGTGATATCTCACACAGCCTTCACTGCTGCATGCAAGGGACAGACTATAGAGATTGTTGGCCGCCTGTCCTGCACGCTTGGATCCTAGATAGAGGCCACCACCGAGACCTCCAGCCGTACAGTTTTCAAAGCTCATAAGGCCCTGTTCTTGCTTCATGGCGCCATTGCCATTTCCAACATAGAGTCCTCCACCGTTTCCACCTATCAGCAGCAGAATGAAATCATGAAAAGCACAATCTCGCGCCAGAAAGACTATCAGGGAAACCGCAAGTAGGTACATACCATATCTGTTCACCAACGCCTTGGGGAGACGCCGCACAGCTGTGGAATTGAATGATGCCTCTGGCAATGAAGCCGTGCGTCGCCATCCCACCACCATTGCCTGGGTTGCTGTTAAGGAACTTAAATTAAGTTACCATAATGGGTATATATAGTAATTAATGAGGTTCCCCCAATATAACTTAAATTAAGTTCCTTAACAGCAACTCAGTTGCCGCCGTGCGCAGAACATTGGCGAAGGGTAAGTTGGCTGCCAGGTTTCTGCCGGATCACTCCACTCTTCATGAGGAGGCCGCCACCAGAGCCCAAAGAACTGCAGTTCTCTGCCCATAGATGTCCATTCAGATCAAACTGGCCATTTGCGATGTATAAGGCACCGCCTGTCAAGCTTGTCAAGAAAGTAGCTTTGATTTTGGAACACAACTGTTATTGTCTTGAAGACGCTACTGACACCAAAACTTCTGAGAAAGGCTTGTAAAGCATGTTGACAATATCACTCTGATCTTCAATGGCAACATGTGATTCTCTCATGCTCGTGCTGTTTGGCATTGAGAAAGCCAGCAAAGACCACTTCACGGCACACAGGATTGATGATGCTTTGGGTTTGTCGTTTCTCGATCATTCCGGCAGTCCAATTTGTCAGTATATGCTACAGCAGCAGTTTTTTCAACAGGGTATGTTTGGGCATCTGTGCAACTGCAAAAGGCTGCAAAGGTATTCACAGCCCATCCAGTCTTCAACATGTAGGTGTGCAAGTTCATGCGCGGCGAATCTGTATCGATGCAGCAGATGATGATCCCGCAAGAGGAACACAGCACAACGCCGGGCCAATCTCGAGGGGTCTGTGCACATTGAGCTAAAGAGAAGTGCCCCACACTTCACGCAGCTCAAAGCATGCAGTGCTGCACCAGCCTCCTGAATCGGACCGGTAAGCGTGGCACCTGGAGAAAGATATGGTACTGTCCAAGATGACATCTCTCTCCACATACATCCCACCACCGGCATCAGCATGACAGTCACGGAAATCCATTTCGCCAGCGAGTTGATGCAGGAAGCCTTCGAACACTGCTAGACCTCCTCCACGGCTAGCGAGGGCTTCGCAGCTCTGGAAGGTGATGTTGGCTCCATCATGCAGGAAGTTGCCCTTGAGGGACATACCTGCCAAAGCACAGAATGTATGGGTCAAGTTTGCACCCCATTTAGAGACCTGTTTTGCAAGGGCAGTGTTGGATACGCTGGTTGCTGAATTTTCACTGCATCCCCGGCTGGTGCTTCGGCTCTTGCTGTGGTGTGCCGCGTCTTTTAGCTCAAAAGCATTTTCTGGAAACAGTTTTGGCTACCCTTTCGAACGTCTGACAGGGAAAACCAAGCGTTGCCACGGCCAAACGCATTTCGGCGCTTTCTTCCTCGACGTCCCTCTGGACATTGAGCTCTTGCCAATGGTATGCAGCCCCACGGCTCGTCGAGTGCATGATCCACGCGACCGTCACCATTTCGAGGCGCATCTTCGCAAGCGCTACGTCCGAGCTCGCCACCGCGGTTTTTGCTAGATGGTGTTTACTCTTTCTGGGCTGAGGAATCCTGACGCGCAGTTGGACGCTCTTGAAGCTTTTGGTGTGCTCTTTATGACTTTGTGTGTCACTCTTTCCCATGCTGGCTGTGCATCTGATGCGGTCAGCACATTCCACATCTGCAGCGCACACGGGCCTCCACCGTCTCCACCAGCATGACATTTATCAAATGCCATGCTGGCCTTGGCATGTAAATAAACATCAAGCCCCACATCTGCTCCACCGCCAGCTCCGGTAGCAGTGCACGCAAGGAAAACCATGTTGCCCTTGAGCACCGTCAGGCTTCCATTCCGGGTTTGCAAGCCACCACCGCCTTTCAGAGCCTGGCACTCAATGAAGTTTGTGACGCCGGCAAGCTGGGAGTAGTTGTGCACGACATGAACGCCTCCGCCACCTATCGTGTCTGGCACTCACAAAGCATGCATGCGTTCACAGCAATGCAGTTGAAAGTCATATCTAGCACGGTCGCGTGATCGCGCCAGCCCCCGCCTGAGTCCAGATGTCCCGAGGCAACGCAATAACTGAAATTGTTGTAGCCAGAAGCATGGACGGAACCGGCGCTCATGCAACCTCCATGCGTTGCACGGCAAGAAATGAAATCAGCAGAGGTGTCAGATTCCTGGTTGAAGGTGCGACCAATTCGAAGACCCCCTCCATCGCCAAGGCTCATACAAGAATGCAAAACCAGCTGACCTTCACGCTGATGAAAGTTCTGTCGCACAAAGGCCCCTCCTCCACCTGCAAGCGGCCGTAATCTAGCAGGATCAATCCTACAAGGCGCAACTGACTCTCAACCTGCACCATTAATATATCAATCACTCTCAGCAAGCTGCCGGCTCCGATATCCTGCCAACTCAAAACAGCACTCGTGCCCTGTAGTTTTTGTACAGATTTCTCCAGACCACAACAGTGTGGTCGCATTTTTATCTGGCCAGTGTAGTGGCACTGCTTTAGATACAGCTTTGACCCATGCGTCTTCGCCAACGGCATGCATGGGGCATAAACCAGCTTGAGAAAAAAAAGGACTCCGCAGCTCAATTGAGCGAAACTTCACCCTCGATAGAGAGCTGGGGCAGGCTTCGCAGTCAAAGGCAGGGGTGACATTTCAAATTCGCTTGGCCAATGATGCAATCCAAACGAAAAATCTCTGCACGCAAAAGATAAGATGTTTCTATAGCGAAGGCTCAGAGATGTATGAGATGCGTGAGAATCCTTTCAAGGCGTATGTTCTGATGTTGGCCGTAGCTCCTTGTTTCAGCTTCAGGATTCTAGTCTGCAGCACTTTATGCGCCTTCTGCAACGCGTGAAAGCAGATTTCACTTTGCTTTCCAGTTGATTTCAAAGCTGTTGCAGCTCTCTGCTAATGCTGTGAAGACATTCCTTCTGATAAGCATAAATTCATAAGGCGCAAAAAACTGGGTATGTTCAATAGCGGCGTGCCATGATGCTTCAAGTGTTATATTCCCGTCAAAGCTTCTACGGGACCGTGAAGGACATTCAAAACCAAAGGCGCTTGAATGACTTTCTTCGCAATCTTCCTGAACAAATCTTCCTGAGCATGACCCTCCGCGACACGCGTCAGTCAACTTGGGATCGGTCGAAGCATCGATAATACAAAGAAAGAATTATTCCATGGCAAAACGATTGCTGATTTTAAGCCCCAAAAACCAGCCTTATCCTAGGAAAATGTCCATTGAGGCTCTAGAAGTTCAGCTCAACCTCCAGCCGACAGGCTCTTTTGCGAACGCACAGGATTGGTCTCCTCACCCCCCCCCCAAGCCGCACCCCTACAACGTAGACTAACCATGCACACGGGCATCGAGGGATGCTGACCCCAAGACAGAAGCCTTGGTTCTGAAGCTCGTCGACTGGATCAAATATGATACCCTGCCTCCCCGCATGGCACGACACTTCGTGAAGCTCATGGTGCCGATCATCACCACATCCTTCTGAACGAAAAGCCCGCCGCCAATATTGGAGCCACAGCCGTAAAAACTCATGCTGCCGGCAAATTGGTGCAAGTAGCCGTTGAAAACAGCTAAGCCTCCTCCACGGCCACCGGGTGCTGTACATTTTTGGAACTCGACGTACGCACCATGCTGGACAAAGTTGCCGCCAAGGGCCATGCCTGTCAGGGCATGGCATGCTTGGCACTTCAGGGTTTTGACGGCTTTGTGAGAACACGCTCGATGCACTCAAGAACAGCCACTTGAACGCGCACTGGCCTCCACCCCTTGCGCTGCGGCAGCGTTCAAAGGTCATGCTGACATTCTCTCGCACGTGAACATGAGAGCGAATCATCGCCCCACCACCAGCATCTGGTGCCCGACACCTCTGGAAGGTGATAGCGCCAGACTCCACGGTGAGGCTGCCAACAATGATATGTAACCCGCCACCGTGACCCATTCGTGTCTCGCAGCCAGTGAAAGTCATGGCCCCCTGGCGCTGGAGGACATGGTACCTAACGAGCAGTCCACCACCTGCGCATGCAGGCTGGAACAGGTTGCAGCATGAGTTGAGCAAGAATGCTCAGGAAAAGGGTACTGTTCAGTTGCAGCATGTAGCAGTGATGTAGCTGTAGCAGGTTGGTGCCCCCCTGTACTCCCCCCTGCAACCAACGCCTGGCCTGAATTCACATCTCCAAGGCTTCCCAGGGCTTGACAGTCAACAAAATTATTGAGGCCCGCAACATGGACGGAGCGGTCCACGGTCATGCAACCGCCGCGCTGAGAGCTACAACCATTGAAACGGACCGAGCCGTCAGCGCTTTGATTGAAGAAGCCTTCTATCTGAAAGCCGCCTCCCTGGGATTGGCTCTTGCACGATTTGACTGTGAGGGCACCCCCATGCTGAATAAGGTCTCCCTCCACAGATGCTCCGCCGCCAACACCGCCTGAAGGGCTCGTACCCGTAGCATGATATGAGCTACAGTCAATATTACCCAAATGATTAAGGGACTTGGGCTTTTTGTTGAAGACAATGGAAGGACTCTACTAAACTCCAAGAAAAACCCCTCCGTCCACCCATAATTTGCCCTGTTAAAGCCAATATTGTCAATAGCTCATATCAGATATATCATCCCTACAGTATTTACTTGAAGCGCATGCAGAACCCCAAATATTGAAGCGTGTTCTGGGCGTACTGTCGACTCTGACCTCAACAGTAAGGCAAGGAGGCTTGCCACATTTGATTCTATGGCAGCTGCATCACATTTTGCAATTCCGACTTGAGATCTTCAGATCATGCTCCATGCTCAGGATGTCATGGCTCAATCGAGCATATCTGTAACATAGCCGTCTGGCCTGACCCAAGAGGGCCTCCGGGGGCTTCGCAGTCCGAAAAGCTGCTGGAGCCGTTTAAGCTGACAGAAGCTTCAACTCTCATGCCACCCCCACGCGTGGCTTTGCAGGAAGAAAATGAGGCAGAACCGGACGACATCTGATGGAAGCTGCCGTGAACGTGAAGACCTCCCCCGTCGGTTTTGCTCTTGCAGGAGCCAATTTTAAGAAGACCTCCATGCTGGACAAAGTCCTGCTCCACGAAACCTCCTCCGCCACTGCCTGCCAAGAGGTGGTTTACAAAGTGTACCACAAGCCAAATGCAGATGCGGAAATTACGGTTGTTATCGGTCGTTCCTGTACTGGTGCTGCCGTAACATATCGCTCAGGTGCACTGCACACTGGAAGAATTCTCACAGACGCACTATGCGTATCCCGCTACTGGACTTGGACAGAACGAATGCCTCTAGTCTTCTGGACCCGCTCGCAGCTGCTCAAACAGGTAAAGCACAAATCCAAGTTGAACACAAACGTACCATACACCGACTTGTGCAAGGAGGTATGAAGCCAGCATAGGGGTCTAACACAAACTATTGAAGCCATAGCTGTGTATGTGTTACTTGATTGGCCTCGACTGCTAAAAGAAACGATAATCTTGCACGTGCGTTACTGACTTGCAGATCCAACTCCGTCGGACATGATATGCAAGTACATCTGCCTGATCGCTTACCAGCCGAGCAGTTGAGTAGTCGAATAGTTCCACCCATCTGGGAAAATTTGCCACGGATGCGCATGCCACCACCTGCCAAGCTGTTCCAAAGATGTTTAGCATACGCCCATTTCTGCTGAGCACTGGAATTCAGTCCACAGCGACACCTACAGCCCATGTTTCGCTGCCACACTTCATCCATGCTCTGCAACTATCGTGCAAGACTCTACTTGTGCGCTTCATGCCCAAACTACCTGCATGTGAGCTTGGCCTTCTCTTGCTTACATAATATCTGCATGTACAGGTTGGACACCAGGGCATGCAGTCCACAAGATCTATGATTTAATTCAAGCGAAACAAGGACCCTTCCTTTCTTAGGTGATTCTAGCATAGGTGGTACCCATGGAAGCATGTTTGAATTCGGATGGTATAAGATGGTATATTTCGGGCATACATGTCGAGGTATGGTTCGGCCGAAAAGCAAGATTTAGCCTGCAAATTCGACACGATCGTAAGTGTTTCCCAGACTGTAAGACATCACACGCATGGCACTCTGACTTGGTTTTTCCTGAACAATCAGTTGCCCGACTTGTTGTGCTTATTGTCTTTCTTCTTGCTCTCTTTCTTCTGCTTGCCCTCCTTGTCCCGCTTAGTCTTCTTATCGCTGAGGCGCGGTCTTTCTTCTTCTCCCCCATTCCCCACCCGCCCCCAATCCTCACGGGATCGCGCAGCCACCTGAGGCAATGATCAGAGCCGCGATCCCACCTCAGAGCCCATCCAGTCAGCCGCGTACCCTTGGCCCACTTCCAAAAAATGTTGGGGTGCACTTGTTTCTTCACAGGCGCTGAAGCATTGTACCTGTGACTTTTTGAGGAAATACCAAAAAAATCCAACGCCGGCCCGGCCCCAATGCGGCGGGGTTGGGGAGGGGTCAAGGGCGCTGGGCTGGGTTATGCGCTGGTGGTGATGGGGGACTTCAACGCCTCTCTAGCCGGCGCCC